CAGTTAGGATCTCTTTTGGGGTGCTTGTAAGTCTACCTTAACCTACCAAAACCTACGTTTGTGTAGGCTCTTAATATAAACCCTAACATGGAATTTATAGGGACCCTACAAAAACGTAGGTTTGGGTAGGTTAACGTAATTATCTAAATCCCTCGACTCTCCGAGAAGAGGTCTACCTTCTTGTACCCTCCGAGTGCCGGGACTGCATGGGGGTTTCCGAAAATAGGGACCCTAATATAGTACCCTAAATAATAGGATCCCTATTATAAGGACACCCAAAATAAGGTACCCTAATTTTTGGAAACTCCCGCATTCTTCGAAACTGCCAGGCGACTCCGAACGCCCCTGCCAGTAAAGGCACGATCGGAGAGAGGGTTCCCGGTTTAGGGTTTAGGGTTCATGGTTTAGGGTTTAGGGTTTAGGGTTCATGATTTAGGGTTTAGGGTTCATGATTTAGGGTTTAGGGTTGAGGTTACCTGAAAAACCTGCCCTGGGAATCCGAAACAAACTTATGGTTTTAAGGGTTATCTCCTAGGCTAAGGGAGTCAGAACCTCCTGGGGTACGTAGTTCTCTAAATATTTTTGGGAACCCGAAGGAAGGCGGCACCCTTAGAACAAGGACCCTAAAACGGACCCTAACTCAAAGAAATACCCATTACTTTGCAGAGCTTGGAGCTTACCCTAGACCCTAAACCCTCAGCTCTTAACCCTAAACCCTAAACAACAAGAACTCAGGGTACAGTGTGGACCTGAAAGGTCTGGGTCTTTGGGGTTTATAGGGTTTCGGGTTTAGGCTTTGGGGTTTCGAGCTTACGCTTCGGGTCTACCTGAAAAGTTTCGTTGTGGGGTATAGGGTTTTGAGTTTAGGGTTTAGGGTTTAGAGTTTTGGTTCAGAGTTTAGGTTTTAGGGTTTTAGGGTTTAGGGTTTAGGGTTTAGGGTTTAGGGTTTAGGGTTTAGGGTTTAGGGTTAAGGTTAAATCCTGAATCTAAAGCCCAGACACTTAAAGGATTAAGCACTTGGAGGCTGCCCCGCTTTGTGGTCTTAGGTAGCCAAATCTACACAAATCTTTGGTAAACGATTTGCCCCTTCTCCTTGTGAATGTTCCTCCTCTTCCCGATATGTGACAAGGAGATAGTTTTCTGATTTCGGGTTAGGGTTTCGGTTTTCGGGGCTTCTTTTACGGTTATAGTTGCTAACAGCAAGAAGTACTTGGACCCTACGATGCAAAGAGGCAGCGGGGGCTTTTGCCGGCCCTTCCAGAGGCGCGCCAGGTGCACCCCCACGATTTCCGTGCGTTTAGGGCTCAGGCAATCCGTAGGGTTCCATATTCCTGGGTCCTTGTTGGATAGATTCAACTTGACATGTTGGTTCTCATAAAAACCCAAGAAGGATTAAGCAATGATCATGTCTGAATGTAGCCCCAACAGGGAATCAGATTCGCAATGCCCAGAGGGTCCAAGTACACGTACCAAAAAGGGTATTAAGCCCCAAAAGACCATTTTGCATGGTTTTGGGGGGGCCCGAATTCCATGAATGGTAGTATGCATGGACCCTCTGAGATGCAATATACACCTGCACGGTGGTCCTAAACCGTAAACCGTGGATCCCGTTGGACTTATTCGGGCTTCTACATCATGGTGACAGGGTTCAGCGCTGTGTGTAGGGCTAGTGTTTCAATGTTTTGGGGTTATAAGGATTCAGTGTGTGAGGGCTTTAATCTAAGCTTGAGGGCTATAGGGTTGCGGAGTTTCTGTAAATTTGGGTTAGGCAAGCGGGTGTTTAAGGCAGAAGGATTGCTGAAGCGTTGTTCTTGTCGGTTGGATTAGGCGGTAGTGTATGGGATATCGGATATGGCCATGCCGATGATGATCATGCTGATTGACTGGAATGAAGGTGCAGACAACTAGAGGTGTGAGGCGAAGGGTGAACGGGCAACCTGCCTGATGAACAAAGCACATATATGAAGTTGAGTATCTAGATGGTGACAGATGTGGTTGGCAGCTAGTTGCTCAGCCATTCTTCTAGCGCCTGAGTGTCCTTAAACACCGAGCAACCGAGTCCTGATATCCGAATACAGTAGGGCTCATTAGCACAATTGTTCCCAAACTCCTCTTCTAATCATTGCTGTGACTGCCTGTAACGCCCTAAACCCTAAACCCTAAACCCTAAACCCTAAACCCTAAACCCTGAACCCTAAACCCTAAACCCTAAACCCTAAACCCTAAACCCTAAACCCTAAACCCTAAACTGTAACGCCTGTGTACCCCTAAACCCTAAACCCAATTCAGAAAGCCTAGAGAAGAGGCCTCAATAATGAGGTTTAGGGTTTAGGGTTTAGGGTTTAGGGTTTAGGGTTTAGGGTGTAGGTGGGTGTTGGGGGCTATTACAACTCGAACCCCAAGCCTTAGCCTGAGCCCCAAGCCTGAGAAGATTACGAGGGGTCAAGACCTAAACTCTAGACCCTAAACCCTAAACCCTGCAGCTGCTCTCCTCCTAGTGGGGATGCGACCGGCGTAGGAAAACCTCGTGCAGACGCACAGAGCCGTTTAAACAACTAAGAAAAACTACACCCTTGTGGGATTTATTTGGGGTTCCTGTACCCTTCTTGGGGCCTAAACCCTAAACCCTAAACCCTAGACCTACCCTAGGCTTTCGGATTCGGAGTGTAGCGTTTAGAACTGGTTTTAGGAGTGCGTGCGAGTGCCCTAACGGCGGCTATCCCATCTAAAACCCATAGCTCCAGATCGAAATGTAGGAGCCCAAGAGGTAAACTTTAAACTTTTTTGGTATATTAAACCCCTACTAAGAGAAAAGTTTAAGCTTTCTTGGGCCAGGGTACTGGGCTTAAAGGGAAACAATTATACCCAGATCATTCCAGGGGTTATACCCCATAACTCTGTTCTAGTCATAAAGGCCCTTTATTACTCTCGTGCCCTCTATTGTTGTACACAACGGGTTCTATAACAACGGTTCTATAAGACACTTACCAAACGGGCTTTATTTCAGGGGTTGAAGGTATGTAATGATGATTGGAACAGGGCTCCTTTCAGGGTTCCTGTTGAAGGGAGCTGTAAGAGGTACTGGACATGGCTGCAATAGGAACTTCGTAAAGGTGCCAGCTAGAACTGGGTCTTGGGTCTATTGCAACTACGCCTATACAGCGAGTATCAGGTGACAGTACTGTCAGTTATTCGGACCTCTACAGTAGGACATTCTTTCTGCCTGAGAGCTGATACGGTTGATGATATAAACAACGAATATAGCATACTTCCCATAGTTTAGGGTCCGTAAGGTAATGCAGAGTTTACATCATCAACCCTAAACCCTAAACCCCAAACCCTAAATCCTAAACCCTTTATATCATCAACAGTACCTTCACGCTTGTCAGCCGCTGCCACATGGGTTCGAAGAATTCCGGGACCGCACAGAGATGAGGGAGGGACGGTTTAGGGTTTAGGGTGCTATCATTATAACAGGGAACCCCCAAATAGCATAGGTAATTCGTAATTAAGGCCCCTATGTTACCACCTTAGCAGCCCACCCAAAGGAGTTGACCATTGATCCGACTCCCTACACATCACAGTCAGAAACACCCCACTCACCAGCAACCCCCATTAAGTCGAGCCGAAATACGAACCTACACGAGCATCGACCCCGATTCCCAGGGACCCAAGATGCAATAGTATCCCCTGAAAGCCTTTTTTTCTAGTCATACGGTAGGTCCAGTTTTCATGCAACCCAAAGCATCTTGTATATAAGGCCCCTACTTTATAGTCCTCTGCAAGACCCCTTCTGGAAGTAAGCCTAAGCCCTAAACCCTAAACCCTAAACCCTAAACCCTAAACCCTAAACCCTATTCGAGCTCATAAGGCCCGGAGATGATGAGCAGCCCCGATTTTGCAAAGCTCACGCAGTAGTTTCGCAGCTTTTCGCAGTTTTGCCATGGTGCCCCTCCGCCTGTCCGCAGCTCAGGAGAATGGTTATTTACTTAGCCCATGGGAGCATATTTGATAGATGAAAACTTTGAGCTTTTTGTTGGGCTAGGTCTTGGAGAAGAGAGTTTAGTGTTGAGGGGTTGAAGCTGGAATCATATAGCGCCTTAAGAACCAGAATAATGCAGGGAGTATAGTAAAGGGGCGCTAACAATCAGGATATGTTTGTTTGGTATATTGCCGTGTATAGTTACGGAGGTAGCTCTTCAGACTCCGATATCCGGCTCTCCAAAACATATTGCTTTATGGGTTGTTAGGGCTTTCAAGCTTTAGGGTTTGGGGTTTGGGTTTCTGGTTCCGCCTTCCCCAGCAGTAGCAGCAACAGTACATATTGTCATAATATATTGTCTGTTGGAGGTGCCACAAAACCCTCTACCCTATATAACCCTTAACCCTCAGCAGGCAAAACTAAAGCAGTATTTTTCGGCCGCACCAGACGTCGTGGCGCGATGGAAGAGTTCCCTCAATCCATATTCGAGACCACGGTCCCACGTAGGCTTATAGCAACATGACACTGCTGATGATATAAATCCTGCATTACCGGACCCTAAACTACGGGAATTATGGTATATTTCTTCTTATGGGTAATGCAGGATTTATATCATCAACCGTATTGGGGTTTGATTGCGGACGTGATGCAGCAACAGCTTGAGGGCCTGATTTGTATGAGGTACGCTAAACCCATGTTCTCCCTGACGGCCTTACGAAATCCCACGTGCATGCTTGAGGTGTGGAAGTTCGGCTTGAGGATGCCCGTTTCTGCGTGCTTGGGAACCGGTTTCTGCGTGCTTGGGAACCCAGCCATACCCAACTCCTGAAGCCTAGACCCACAGTTCCAGTGACACCTAAGCCCCAACAGACTTTTCTGAGCCTCACTCGGTCAAGTTTTTCTGTTGGTTAGCAAGTTTGAAGTTTTTATGGGCTAGGATCTTGAAATATACCTTTGGTTTAGAGAACAGGTACTACAACATGGAGACTATAGAAGAACTTGAACCCCTAAACCCGAGGCGATTCTGGTTGGCTGCTTCTCTGGTGCTGGCGTCGCCGTCCAGTCCCCAGAAATGTATGCAGTGGCATGTTTAAAGGGGCAGAGACCTAACGCAGAACCATAGTATGGTTATGAGTTAGGTCCCTGTGTATTTAGATATTCAAGAAGCTAGTGATTGTGATTGTTGCTTGTTTTTGTTGCCAATAGGGGTGGCTTGCTGATTCCAGCAAGACTCGAGCTGAATACATGTAGCAGCGGTTGGGTTTCGAGGAAACAGGCACCCACAAAAGCTCAAATTCCCCGAAACCCCAAGCCTAGACCGGGAAACCCCAAACCTTAAACCCTAACGCATCGGGCTGTGGAGTAACATACTTCTCTGCTTCGAATGTTAAACGCCGAATCCAATTCCAGACCATGCCTGCTTATGAGGACCTAAATCCACATATAAGGACTCTCTGGGGAAGAACGTACTGCTGTAAGGGAGGCTGAACCACCCTGAACCCATGCCAACACTATAAAGCCCTAAACCCTAAACCCGCAACATATACAAACATATAACAAGCCAGCTCATAGTCAACGTCCTACCCCTAAGGCTCCGTTCCCATATAGTATATACTAATAGGGTTTAGGGTTTAGGGTTATAGTCCTTAGAGTACCTATAATAGGGACCCTTTTAAGGCTTAAGTATCTACTATGAAGATACATGGAGCCTTTGGGTACCATGTTGTTCAGGGTAGGCCTTCAACTAGAAAGCTCCACTTGTCCTGGGACCGAGCAAGCAAGCTGTTTAAGAAGAGGCATAGTTGAGGTTATGCTGCCTATGACCCCCTCAACCCTAAACCCTAAACCCTAAGCCCCTAAGCCCCTAAGCCCCAAGCCCCGAAGGCCCTAAACCCCACACTCTAAACCCCTTAACGCCTAAACCCCTAAACGCTAAACCCTAAGCCTCTAAACCCCTAAACCCTAAACCCCTAAACCTTGAACCTTTAGCCCTATTTACGACCTACATAGTCAGTTGCTCAGTTCCCCGATACTTCAAGTAGACCATGCGCTCCCGTGATCGGTTTAGGGTTTAGAGTTTAGGGTAGGGTTTCGGGACCCGAATTCATAAGCCTTCGTCTGTCAAAGTCATCTGAGTCTTGAAGCGATACACAAGTTGGGAATAATTGGCAACAATGTTGTTTCTTGTTCCTATATCACTAGCCAAAAACTCCCCTTTCTGCTAAGGCCCCTTTATTCAACTCTCATAAGGACCTTGGGGACCTTTTTAACACCTATCGAAAGCCGCACAAAAAGGCCTATCACCCTAAACCCGAAAACCAAAAAAAAACCTACAAGTAGCGACTGCGGCTTCAAAGCTCTGGATCCTCCGAGGGCACTCCTAAACCCTAAACCCCTCAGCCCTAAACCCCTAAACCCCTAAACCCTAAACCCTTAAGCACTAAACCCTTAAGCCCTAAACCCCTAAGCCCTAAAACCCTAAACCCTTAAGCCCTAAACCCTAAACCCTAAACCTTAAACCCTAAAAGGTTTAGGGCTTAACAGCAACATCTCTTCCTGGAGGGATCCTTAGTGTAGGATGTGGGCTTCAGGGTTCGTTTGGACCCTAAACCCTCCACGCTAAATGTGTGTTTCCACTGCTTTGCTTTCAGGCGCGTGACGGCCTGTATTGTGTCTTACACGATTATCCTATCGGTCGGGGGTTATTTTTGGGAGTCTTGGGGCATGCAGCAGTTTCTAAGCAGAATCCCTAAGAATCCATGTACTCAAATAGTAGAACATTGGCCCTAAAGTACCTACTTTAAGGCCAAAGTACATACTATTTGGGTACATGGACCCTAAACCCTAAACCCTAAACCCTAAACCCTAAACCCTAAACCCTTAGGGAATGAGAGTGTTGGGGCTCCCGTTGGACCGGAGGCCCTTGACCTCAGCACAGTCGACGTTGAAGTTGTCGGCCACCCTGACCATCGAGAAGAGTGACGACAAGGCACCAGGAGGTTGGTCTAGGGGCGTTTGGGTTTAGGGTTTAGGGTTTAGGGCCTCATAAATCACTTAGAATAAGGCTGCGGGGGATAGGATCGCATATTTGTGGCCCTAAAGCCTGAGCCCTGGCCAATACATGTTCAGGTCCCTACTGCATTAATGGATTCTTGCGCAGGAGCTCCGTAATAGTTTTTTTGTCAAGGGGATGTAAACTACATAAACATGCAAAGGTCCCAAGTGCCTGTATAGTAGACTGTCTATAATAGGAATTACTAGTAATTAAGAACTTTAAAATTAAACGCTCTTTGGAATAGTTCTCCGATGCCAGCGACATCATGGAGGCGTATAGGTAGTTCTCGAAATTAAATTAGAGTCCCGTTTTAGGTTCCCCAATGAAGTACGGCACCCTTACAAAACGGACCCTAAACAGGACCCTACTTTAGTGAACTGCCCAAATATGGTCCTCGATCAGAATAGGGTTCGGGGGTACATTACTGCGGAACACGGTATAGCGTTGTCGGGGCTTCTAGGAGATGTGGTTACTTACTGTTCAGGCCTCTACACCAAGCCTGTTTTGCAAAGTTTGCGAACTTAGATTCAGTGGTATACCCTAAACCCTAAACCTTAAACCCCAAACCCTAAACTCTAAACCCTAAACCCTAAACCCTAAACTGGGTTTAGGAGGCGGTGTCCATAGGTTCACAGGGCGTCGGAATTTGGGGTATAGGGCTTGTAGGGTTTAGCTATTTCGGTTAGGGAATCAGCAGTTTAGTTTAGGGCTTGATGGGTTTAAGGGGAGTCGGCAAGTTCGAGAAAGTAGCAAACGCATCTCTGTGTGTTCCTTCTCCTCTCGATGAGGGGGGTAGGAGCTTTTCGTCGTGTTCTCGTCCGGAAAATCTTCGATTGCACGTACATCTCTCGAATGCATAAACACGCAAAAGGGAACAAGCCGTGACCTAGTACGAATGGCATCTGTTTCCTGTGAAAGTGGCTTTGCTGAGTGAGCTGGCTCCAGCTCAAGCTTGTGTGAAGACTGAAGGCTGCGGAACAAAGGCTATCATCGTCCCTAAACCCTAAACCCAGTCAATGATGACTTTGTCAGGGTGAGCACCAACGGCCCGAACCTCAGGGGTGTCACGGATGCCATGACGGTGCGCACGGAGGTGCTGCAGTACCGTAGCGCCGGGGGAGCGTCCGCTGGATTGCTTCCGCAACATCCAGCTTGAAGCGTCGAGGTACTCCCGTCTCACATCTCACAGGGGCTTTTCCTGATCTCGGCCTCTCCGAGGCCGATCGCTGCATAGGATCGGCCGTTCTCAACTCTGGCTATCTGTCCGTTGGCCCTGGAATGGAGCAACAAATTAATGGAAGATGCATAGCAGGAGTTGCTTAATTTTGTTTGGGAAGTTAATTGGGACATAGTGTTCTCGGGGCTTAGTAGGGCTGAAAGAGCAGGTAAGCTTTAAGCTTGTTCGGATATGATATGTATATACTTACAAAAGACAAAATTTTGGCTTAGGACAAGGCTTATCCTTCGCTGCGGACGAGCAACTCGCCACGTGGCAACCATGCAGCTCATGAATCCAAGGGGTTAAATTTCAGGGTGTGACGTTTCATAACTGCTTGAGGGGCTTGGAGTGTAAGCAGGGTCATTTTCAGAAGGGGTGTGGGGCTGGGGTTCGGGACTAGGACTTATATAAAGAAACTATAATAAGGATCCCTAAAAGGGGTAGGTTTTATAGGGTCCAGGTAGGGTTGAGGGTTTAGGGCTTCGGAGCCCTGAACCCTAAAATCCTAAACCCCCGGGTGTAGGGGTGTAGGGTTTAGGGTCTAGGGTTTTGGGTTTGGGGTTTAGGGTTTAGGGGTTCAGGGTTTAGCGGTTTAGGCTTTAGGGTGGATCCAGGCGAAGACCAATGAGCAGATCGGCCAACTTCTCAGCCACGCGAAGGACTCCCCTTTCAGGATCATCTGTGTGTTCCTTATCATGTTTCTTTATTCTAATTTGTCCTGAAGTTGAACATGAGCCACGTTTTCTTTCACAATATGGGCCGAAGGAGCTTGCAGCTTAGCGCGCAGGGATTGGCGTTTGGGCTTCAGGGTCACTGAGGGTGTGAATGGGGTCGCAACAATCAGCAACGGCATTCCCGTAAAGTCCCCACTATCGTTGTAGTTCTGGCCCCTAAATTAGGGGGCTTGGCATTTCGGCTTCGGAAAGGGGTTGGGGGTGTGGGATTTAACCCACCCTAAACCCTAAAGCCTAAAGCCTAAAGCCTACAGCGCTCCTAAGGCTTTCCCGCCTCGCAGGAGCAGAAGTTTGAGGGAAACGTGCAGCGATTCCTGGAGAACATGGTACTGGACACAGATCTTTGGGGCTTAGGGTTAAGGGTTAAGGGTTTAGGGTTCTTCTTGCGGAATAATTTTCCACGGCTTCTCTAAGGGCTTTTGGACGGGTCTTTTCATGATTTCAGAATTTCAGTCGGTGAGATTCATGTTTGTGGTGTGAGCGTCCAGAGGGCGCAGGCACTTCAGGGCGAAAAGGCTCAGAGGCTTTGGGTTTAGGGCATATAAAGGCTAAGAGGCTTTGGGTTTAGGTTTTAGAGTTTAGGGCATTTAAAGGCTCATAGGCTCAGGGTCTAGGCTTTAGAGTTTGGGGTATACCCTAAACCCTAAACCCTAAACCCTAAACCCTAAACCCTAAACCCTAAGGCTCAGGGGCTTAGCATCAGGCTGTCGATGTGTTGGTTTTCTTGACGGATGCTCTCATGAAGCAGCGGATCGTTGCTGCATCTTTCCCAAAGCATCCTAAGTACCTACATGAGACCCTAAACCCTAAACCTTAAACCCTAAACCCTAAACCATAATCGTACGGAATTCCTACGATGGAACCCCATCTTTCAACTACATAGGTACTTAGGGTTTAGGGTTTAGGGTTGGGGGTACTTGGTTTTAGGACCCTTTGGGGTTGCTGACTCGACAGGCCACGATGGTCCCTGGACCCGGGGGGATGTTCAGAGTAGGGTTTAGGTTTTAGGGTTTATAAGGGTTTAGGGCTTAGGGTTTAGGGTTTAGGATATAGTCTTTATCATGAAACCCAGAGGGCTCATATACACCACCATTATGGAATTAGGTCCCGAAAGACCATCCTTGTCATGGTTTGGGGGGACCTAATTCCACAATAGTAGTATTTATGGACCCTTTTGGAAAGGGTTTTCGGCCTGGGTGAGAGAGGGCTCTGCGTACATACTACCCAGAGACTCCAATATCCCTTAACTGAGGAACGTGCCTTAAATCTTATTGGGGTTCCCAGTATACTTTACGGTATATTCCTTAAATAAGGAACATACCTTCAATCTGATTTGGGTTCCTATTATTGTAATTTCAGGTATATTGTATATTCCTCAAATCAGGGATTTTGCAGACTTTAGGTATGTGGCCGTTCTCTACCACAGGGCTTCACAACTGCACAGTGCGCACAGGGGCTTAGTTTTCAAATTCTTAAACTATCAACGGCGGGTTGGGGGCTTAGGGGTTTAGGGCTTTGGGGTTTGGGGTTTAGGGCTTAGGGGTTTAGGGCTTAGGGTTTAGATATGATTCTAAACATGTTTGAAGAGCCAACCCGAAAAACAATCACACGTCGACTCAGAGAACACCCTGACACCCACACCCTAAAGTAAACTCCGAACCGGAAAGCTTGAACGCCAAACTGTCGCGGCAAAACCATATCGAGCGTAAACCCTTAACCTCACAGACTAAATCCCATGGTGTCACATCAGTGGGTTTGACTTGTCTTGCACGTTGACAGGATGCATGCGTTGCTGAAACAGTAACACAGCACAGAAGGAGTGCAGATGCCGTGCATCTCACAGCATGTCTTACCAGACCCTACACCCTAAACCCTAAACCCTAGAGCACATGTGTCCAAGACTAGTGCGTGTTGCCGTGCGGAGAAGACGCAGTGCATCCTTGCGTGCCACCGAACATGAGGCGACAAACGCACTTGTTGGTTGCGGAGGAGGAGTTTTGGCTTCACCAGGTGCTTCAGATGCTGAGTTCTGGCTGCAACTGGCTTGCCGTGGCGCAGCGGTCGCGTAGACCGTGCAGCACAGGAGCCACATTGGAGATTTTAACGGACCAGGAGAACGGGTCCGGGTGGAGATTGAGCCACTTTTGAATCCACATGACTTTGAGCAAGCCGGTGTGGAGCTTGCACGGCCTCCCCGTTTACGTCTGAGGACTAGATTTGCGACGCGGGAAAATTCAGTTTTCAGATCTACGGACGATGTTATCGTTAGTGCTTGGATTTGTTGTTTGGTTCTCAGCCACCCTCGTAATATAGGGGCATAAATCATTAGACTGGGGTTTGCGGTATAGTCTACTATAACTAGAATAAGGAACTTCCAAAACCCCATTCTCATTTTTAAGGCCGCTTCATTTCTTAACACGGTTTCGGCGGCGTTCAAAGACCCGTCGTTCAATCGATGTTGGAGTTTCGGAACCCTACACCCTAAACACGGTTTCGGGTTTGGGGGTTCAGCGTTTAGGGGTTAAGGGTTTATTTTAGGGTTTAGGTTAGGGGTTAGGGGTTACCCCTAAGCCCTAAACTCCAAACCCCAAACCCTAAACCCTAAACCTCTAGGGTTTAGGGGGTTAAATAAGGTTTAGGGTGTAGGGTTTTGGTTTATTTATAGGGTTTAAGGACCAGCGATCATGAGGTGCACCAACTCCAGAAAGTCATGGAAGCTGCCAAGGCAAGGGCTTGGGTTTAGGGTTTAGGCTTTAGGGTTTAGGCTTATTTTGCTGAGGTAATCAAGAGCTTTCAAGGTGTAGGGCTTAGGTTAAGCCCTAAACCCTAAACCCCAAAGGTTTAGGGTGTAGTTCAGGGCTTAGGTTTGCAGGGTGTTGTTGATCTGCCTGAGGGGGTTTAGGTTTGCAGGGTGTTGTTGATCTGCCTGAGGAGTTCTCTGGATTTTGCATTCCGGTTGCAAAACTTGACCTCATGCGCGTCAGTTTAGGGACCCAAGGCAGTTCATCCTTACCTCAGGAAGTCAAGATTGGACTCGCATCGTCGACTGGTTTATTGTGGTGAGGTGTTCTTGGACGATTCGTACTCCGCGCTAGTTAACGCTAGTCAGGATTTCTTCCAGAGTTGCACGACCCAGGCCAAAAGCCCTTAACACCAAGTCGTCCGGGCTCATGTTTGGGGCAGCGACCATACACGCAATCGTTTGTCCTCAACCTTGAACCCCTAAGCCGCCCTTGTCCCCACAACCCGAAATCCGAACATGTAAACCTTGCAGCTCCTTAAACCTACATTCATCGACTCCGAAACTCTGAATTTCTTCAAAGAAACTAACCCAAGAAACCAGGTCCTGCATCGTGGATATCTTACTTAGTCTAGTTGGAATAGGGTTCCTTCAAGCAGGATATCTAGGAAGTACGGGCTCTATTGCATATAGGGCGCCGCTTATAGAGTTCGAATAAGGTTTCGGACTGTAGCATGAGGGACCCAAAGCATCGATACGGTTGACGATACAAATCCTGCATTACCTATATACTTACAACATGGAATAGACCATAATTCCCATAGTTTAGTGTCCAGAAAGCACATAAGCATAAGCATTTTATAGGGATATCCCTACCTTATTGGGCTTCATTATAAGGGGTTCATATGGGATATCCCTATCCTAGTTTTTGCTTATGTGTTTTTTTGGCACTACTTAAGGTAATGCATGACTTCCTGGTGAAGCCTAGTTGGGGGCCAAGCAGCGCTTGTACAGAACCTTTTTCCCCGAAGCCGCCAAACCCTAAACCCCCAAACTCCCCAAACCCTAACCCCCGAAATTCCTAAACCCCAAACCCTGAACCCCCTGAACTCCTAAACCCTAAACCCTAAAGCCCCTCAACTGCTAAACCCGAACCATCTGGAGCCCAAGGAAGGCCAGGGCGCCAAAAACCCTAAAAAAACCGACCCTAATCCCTACATCCTAAACCCCAAACCCTAAACCCTTAAACCGCCCTATACCCTAAACCCTAAACCCTAAACCCTTAAGCCGTCGAGACCCAGGTGGTAGAGGAAAAGAAGTCGACGGAAGTTCCCAAAGACTTCACTCCGCCAAAATACCGGGTCAAGGCGATGGGTGGTTTAGGGCTTTAGGGTTTTAGGCTTTAGGGTTTTAGGGTTTCGGGCTTTAGGGCTTTAGGGTTTTAGGGTTGTGGGGTTAGGGTTCAGGGGTTTGGGGTTTAGGGTTTCAGGGTTTTAGGGTTTAGGGTTTGAGGGTTTAGGGTTTAGTGTTTAGGGTTGGGGGGGTTTGAGGGTTCAGGGTTTAGGGTTTAGGGTCTAGGTGTTATAGACTATACCCTCGTGGTCCATGTACCCAAAGACTATATACTTTGGCCCCAGAGTACCTTATATAGGGACGACTGTAAGGCCAAAGTACACACTATTTGGGTACACGGACCCTTGGGGAATAGGGCTTCTAGGGATTCCACGTTTTAGGGTCTAGGGTTTAGGGTTTAGGGTTTAGGGGGTTTTCGGGTTCTTCATTGGGGTGCAGGGTTGTGGTTTTAGGGTTTGCCCATAATCCGCATAGTAATTCCTTAACCCACTTCATTTCTAGGATCCTGTAATACCCTAAACCCTAAGCCCTAGACCCTAAACCTATAGTTCCTTAACCCACTTCATGTTTAGGATCCTATAATACCCTAAACTCCAAACCCTAGACCCTAAACCTAGTTCCTTAGCCCACTTCATGCCTAGGATCCTTAAATACCCTAACCTCTAAACCCGAGACCCTAAACCTAGTTCCTTAGCCCATTTCATGCCTAGGATCCTTAAATACCCTAAACTCCAAACCCGAGACCCTAAACCAATAAGCTAAGCCTCCAAAAGGAACTACACCCTAGACCCTAAACCTATAGTTCCTTAACCCACTTCATATTTAGGTTCCTACAATACCCTAACCTCCAAACCCTATAGACCCTAAACCAATAAGGTAAGCCTCCAAAAGGAACTACAATGGAGACTGACCCTAAACTCTAAGCCCTAGACCCTAAACCAATAAGCTAAGCCTCCAAAAGGAACTACAATGGAGAC